GTAATTGACATGCAATTCAGTCCATATTCCATTTTTCAAACCTTTTTAATAGTCAAAACAACCTCCTCCACTGGTATTTGATAAGAAATTTAATATTTACATTTGCTAAACTTGATTTTCAAGAACAGAAATTTACCAAAAACCAATTCTCTTACCATTAACATAAAAGCCTGAATATAAAATAAACTAATCCTTATCTCATTAAAATAATTTGGATTACTCTTTGAAAACTTTTGTGCAGTTCAACCCATTTATCAATTTTAACTCCATTCTTATATAACCCACCTCCTCTATTTTAATTTGAAAATCTATTACATAGGTAAAAACTCCTCTTATTACTTCAAACAATATTAAATTTACCATAAACCATCTTTGTTATGATTTTGATACCTTCCAAAAAATATTACTTAATCTCTAAACATAATATATTAATAATTACTCTCTTGTATTAGAGTAAACTTCTATCTAATTTCCTTCATCAATTTTCATATATGCGCTTTAGAATGTTGTTTCACTCAAAAACTTCCAATTAAAATGGGGAATCTCAAAATTATCATGAGTCAAAAATGATTCTTAATCATGTATTGAAAGTTGATCGCTGGGTAATTAAGTTTTATACTAAAACAATTATTGACCCGTTTCTTCAGTTATTTGTTTATAGCCTGAATAGAAATGTTAAGATCTATTATTTTAAAAGAGCCATTCAAAATATTTCTTTTTTTTTTCAATTTTATTTTACATTTTAAATATATTTTGATAACTTATTTATTTAGAAAAAGTAAATAATTTGATTTTGAATTATAAAAGGAATGTTATTTAAAATATTTAGATTTAAAGTAAAGAATGAAATCCACAAAATGAATAAATATTTAGAATTATATCCTCAAGAAAAATATATTTATCATTGAATATCATTAGAAATGTTATCAATAGTTAAAAAAAGTTAATTCACTTTTCTTTTTTTATAAAAATTATACTTTTGAGCTGATATTCGCTACCCTATTTTGATTAACAATTAGTTATCAAATATTTTTAGTATTGAAATTAGTCTATGTGTAGAGGTCAAGAAATAATGATTCAAAAAAGAGTTCCTTAATCAAATGAACATACTTTAAATATTAATTACTCAATCCAATTAAAAAATTCTTATTAAGTCCTAAAGATGATTTGGAGATTATACATTAAATAAAAAAAACAAGATAGATTTAATTATATTGCTCTCTAAATTAATTTTATCTATTTTCAATCTTAGATTGTAAATTGCTTATTTTTCCTTTCTAATTCTTTTATATCAAGTGTTAAGCTCCAAAATATCAATTTAATAAGTAGAATTCAATATTTATAAAGATGCCTTTTGATTTTTAACAAAATGGTTTGGTTTTGGAGAATTAAAAGAATTGACAACTGTTTAAAGATTTATGAAAAAATTATTGTTGACGTATTTTTTTATTTATTTCACTTTATAATCCTACTTTTGAACTTGTTAGTCAATTTCTTTTCATATAAAATTCTAATTCATATTGATGTAATAAAGAAAATTAATCAAGTATTTAATCTAATTTAATAAAAGTTCAAAATATTCAATGATAATATATAAATTCGCATTCAATATTTAATATGTGGTAAAAACCAATATTATTAATTTTATTTATTTCAATAGAAATTCATTAGAAAGCTTGATATCAGGTTTTCAGAGAATGTAATAAATATTAATAAATTGAGAACATAGAAAACTTTAGATCTTGAATTGAATATAAGCTGATTATAATATATTATTGCCACCATTAAAAAAATCATAATGCTTTATCTGGAAAACAAACAAGCATAGAACAACAAGGGTATAATTGTAGTTGGAATTAACTTCGGCTTTTTAGATATTATAATGAAAAAATAAATGTTTTGCTATTTTACATGTTTTCATATAAAAGCGATGGGCAATATTTATGGCTTGGGATTTTCTTATTTGTCCCAAATATTAAAATATTGATCATCCCCTATTGAGAAAATAAATAACCAATTTAGATGGCTTTTATTGTTTCATTATAATATCTGAACCTTGCAATCGTATTTTGATTGGCGGTGGGCA